TTTTTGCCGGAGTCATATAGTACCGAATGAGCTCTTTGAGAGGAATTCATCTGCTTATATAATACCTAATCAGGCACCATTCACCATATACAAACCTCAATTATGGCGGAAACGGTACCCTTAATCCGCTATATTCTCAGCAAAAAGCTGCACAATCCGTAATCAAGCAGCGATTTCTAGAACGGAAGGCTCATTAATTCTCCGCCATTGTATTACTGGAAAAGGACAATGTCAACAAATGATAAGACTTTTCATTCTGAATGTATAGCAACAATGTGAAACTCCAGGAGTTTCTTCCTAAAAACTCAAAAGACAACAAAAGTCTCGAAAGTTTTTTGAATATGTTATCTTGCGATATTTCGGTGCGTAGCAAATCGTCAGCCTGAAATTATTTAGCTTGTTTTTACTTGGATACTGTGCCTACTACAGAAATACAACTCAAAATTAAGTTGAGACTGCGAGACAGCAGGATACTCCTAAGACTTTTCTTTGTCAACATATCGCACATACAGGGGGGCCAAGAAAAAGCACTTTTTCCTTGACTTTCGGCGCTATAAGTTACACTTTATAAATTCTGATCGGACATTTCTACCACCATATTAAAGAGCATATTAAATACTATCATGATACTCCGCCACAGCCTTCTGGAGGAGCGCCATCGAGAGATTCTGCCACGCGACCGTGAGTGGGTACCTGAGTTCAGCGAGATCGTTGATTTCTCCGCCACTGTAGACCACCCTGTTGAGCTCCGCCCGAACCGGGTAATTGAGGGAGTTTAGGTCAGGTGACCTACTTAGATATTCCATCTTCTTCAGGTACTCAACGTCCTTCCATTCCAAGTAGGCGAGAGTTTTTCCAACGCCCTTCGATTCCATGTGGTGTCACCCAATGCTGTAGCAGTACAAAGTTTCCAAGAAGGTACGGGCGACGACATGTGAGGGAGATTCTTCTTGAGTTGGTCGATGTAACCGCCAGCGCTCAGCTTCAGCCCGGGGTCCACGAAGAAAATATTGGTCTTTCCATTCCAGGTGCGTCCGGTCCATACCATCAACCCGCGCCTTGGCGACTGCGTGAAGATGATGTCCTAGACCGTAGCGACGTTGTCGGAGCTGCTCGATGTTGGAGGTCTTCCAGATTGAGAGTACTGGTCTCCAGGTAGCTATCCATGGGTGACTCCATACTAGAAGTTTCGCAGCTGTTTGGAGGTGACATGAATTCCAAAGGTCTTCTCCAGTCAGGCTGCGACTGGAGATGACTTCATATTTTGGTGTACATGAAGGTGATGGGCGAGAGCCAGCTGCTTATAGAGGAACATCTTGGGTATCTTCCGCCCTTTTACTCGTATCCATATCCTCCGTCTGGGCAGCGAAAACTTTGCTCATATGT